ACTTTTGAAACACTCCATGAGGTTTAACATTTTCTAAATTGGCTTGTGCATCTGGATGTTTGTGGTTTAAACCACATTTAAACCAATCTAAGTCTGCACCCCTACTGTTTGCTTGTGGATGTTAAATAATTGTTAACAGAGTAAGTATATATGATTATTGTATTGTGAATTAATAGAGTGGAATGAGGTGCTAACTAATACTTTAAGATATGCATTTTCCTAGTCTAGAAAGTTGTAAGTTGTACGCACAAACCTTTCAAGACTGAGTGCTCTTTTTTGATTCAGTGTGTTCTAGCTACAAAGGACAAGGATGCTATATGACTTCATTACCCTGGTGACCCAAGGCCTAGTATATAGGAAGCCCACAGAGTAAAGACCTTTATTCCTCTTTTCCAGAATTAAAATATATTCCTTGGGGGCAAAGGTCCTATATGGGGGAGTGTGATTTGTCTTTCATTTTTGTTGTCATTAAAGCAACTATTTTTTGTCCAACTGTATAGTTGGGAGATCTGTTAAACACTTTCAACATGCAGAGACATCCAAAGCTGTCTGCTATTGCTGCTGCTACTGTTGCTCCTAACTTTGCCAAGAAATAGCGAAGTACTATTCCCTTTCTGCTATGTAGAACCATTTGAGGCACAAGAAAACTGTTGAAAATCAAGTCAGTTTCATCCTGCTTGGGAAATCTAGCAGCAACAGCAGTAGTGGATATTGGAGTTATTTATATAGGGAGGAAGACTAAATTATGAAGGACCTATTTTCCTCCCCTTCCTTGCAGCAGGACATGAGGTGAGTAAGAATAGCAAAGACCTAATGTTGCATTGTCTGAAAGGGGAGACAGTGGACAAGAGAAAATATAGGAAGTAGCATCTCCCTGTAGCTTTACATAGATTAGTTTGTTGGTTAAACAGATTTTCCAGAGGTAGAATGAAACTCAGTATCTGAAAGGGGGGTCTCAGTAACAGGATTCTAGCTAAAAATCCTGCAGGATCTCTTTTGATTCTAAAGCTTACTTGTGTGTTGCCACTTCCTGTTCTTTACATATATATTCTAATTAAGCTAAGACAGATTTATAGACATCTGGGGTTTGGTTTTGTTTAGTTTTTTCCAAATGATGAACACCCCTTAACTGCTTTAATTTGGGAGTGGTGATATCAGTGGCTAAGAGAACGAGGCATGGCCATATCAGAAATGTGCGTGTTCTCAGAGCAGTGTAGCACTTAAAGCACCATAAGCAGGAAGTCATATAACCACATGCTCATATCACTGTGCTACTTTCAGAGAACAGTTACTATTCTGTCAACTCCTTGAACTTTATACATTAGTAAATCCATTTCTTTCTCTTTATAGCTTATACCCATTTTGTTTACCTTTGTTTCTTAGGTTCTTTAGTATGAAATACTTGTTGGTGCATATGCAGTATTTATTAGTTTTTCAGATCATTGAAATTCACTTCAAAAGTCTTTATCTTGTGAGTATAATGAATTGCTGTAGACACTTATTTCAGTCTTCTAGTTCTGCATAATTCTGCATATTGCTTTAGGCAAAAGGCTTGCGCCTTGGTGGACTATAAAGTCTGGATGTGCAGCCACTTCTGACAGCTTTGGACTTTTTATTGGTAATTACACAGATGGTGAAGAATGTTTTAGCTAGTAAGATGTTTTTAGGGAAAAAATAGTTTAAAAAATAATTTATGCAGTGAATAACCTTCAGTGTTTTTACTCTAAATGTGTCTTTGATAAGATGTAATATTGCATTATTTTAATGTTCTCTGAAATGGTATCTAATGACTTTTGCTTCTGACAGACTAAAGAAATCAGTGTTTGTAAATGTTTAAAATTTTTAAACTACTTTTTTTTTTTTTTTTTGCAGGGGCATGCTTTATTAATATCTTTTAACAGAATGCTGTTATCCTACCTGTCATTCAGATTCATTCTGTAGAAATAATTTTGTGATCTACAGATAAAGGCTTACATGTGCTTTCTTGAAAATACTGAAAATATAAAAGTTTAAATGTATAATTAGTATGCCTAGAAAACCAAATACAATACGGTTTAATAATAGTATTATCTTAACATATTAATCCTGAGCTGAACCTCTAGGTAATTTATACTCTCTGATTAGGATAGTTCCCTTATTTGAAATTTCCAGTTTGATTTATGAGACCTAGCGTCTAATAAGATGTGAGGCCCTTCCCCACATACCTATGGCAAACCTCCACGTTGCCGGCTTTATACAATACCACAGGCTAACTTTTTACCTCTCTTTTTACCTCTGAGGCGTTTCGGTTTTTGATTCGTTTTTGGGTATTATTGTAATATAACTTAATGGAGATTCAGTATCTTGAACTGCATGAAGGTGGTATTAGCATCAATTCGAAAGGTGTCCTTGGATATTTTGGGGCAGAGATGACATGACAGCTATGACACCAGTCATTTTAAATAGACTTTAATTGGTATTGTTACATTTGAAATTTTGACCCTGGTTATTAAGATTTTGTTTATATACTGCCAGATTTGAAGGCAGCCACTTGTGATACAAATGGGAAAATTCAAAGAACAAGCAGAAACAAGAAAGTAAATAAAGAACAAAAGCTGTATTTGAAGATCTTGATGATAAATAAAGTTTCTGAAGAGGTACCTCAACAGTAGTAACTCTAAGTGACAAGAAAAAGGCCAGTACTAGACTGATGTGGGAAGGTGTCCATAGGTCAGGATTATAGTGCATTGACAGAGTTGTAATGGCCAGATTTGCCCAGAATTAAAGGCATTTGTATTACTTAATTTTCTTGAAAACACTAAGTTCATTCTTTTAAAAAGGAAAATAATTTATTGCCAAATAGCAATTCAAGTATGTTTTGAAAGGGTTTGAGTATATGGAAACGTGCATTTAGCAGTTTCACTGAATTAGGTTTCATTTTCAATCTGCATTCCACAGACCAAGATAATTCACGTGCAAAAATGGCTAATGCATTTTAAGAGGCGTTTACCATAGTAATGCATTGTCAAATGTTTCTTTTAGTGGTTGACCTTCAGTGCTGCTAAGAGTTTATTCAGACTAAAATTATTGCGAGATGGACACTAATTTTAATTTCAGTCACTGTTGTCTTGAAGTTCCTGCTGCGCTCTTTGATTAATGCTTCTTGGCTACTGCTTCTTCGTTTCCATCTTCTGCTCTGTCAGAGGTTGCTTTTTTCTTGTCATGGGTTCTTCTCCACAAGAAGTTTCATTGTGAAGATGTGAATATTTTTAAATTTAAACTTAAGGTAATCAGTATTACAGACTTAGGCAAATGATTTGTCTAATTAGTTAATAAGGAAATCTGGCTTTCATGAATAGGAGTGTACTCGGCCGTAAGAAGTCTTGACTTCCTTCTCAGATGTTTAAACATTTTGCAAATGCTGATGGTATGCAAAAGTAGTCTCATATTCAATAGATACCTAAGTATGTTTGCTCATTTATTACTAATTAGACTGGCACCAATTACTATTGAATTTTTAATAGCTACCACATACAATAAATAAGGATTACAGATGAATAAAGATTTGCAGACTAGAATTTATTTTAGCTTCAATTTTGTCTTCATCTTTGTTTCCTCTTGTTTCATTTATCAGTATGTTATAATTACATTATTATGCAAAAATGAAACAACTTTCATTAGTAATCTACCATAAGTACAGACTGACTACCAAGTACAGAAATATTATGAAAACTTCTGATTTATAGTTTTAAAAAAATCATTTGGTTTTAGAGTTCTTTTTTTGTTCTTTTTTGTTGTATATGAATTTTATTCAATCCTTTCCTATAAAATATTTTTTTTTTTTATCTAACTGAAAAGGTAAAAATACCATTGGCCCTTTATAAGATACATAATAGCTTTTTAAAATACTTCTGAATTTCAAAGGAGAAGCAAATGCATTATTATGTAGGTTTCTGGTGCAGTTCTTGAAGGTGTATATGTAGCTTCCTGTTTAGTTAAGGATTCCTTAATTTGATACTGGTAGTATGTTTCTTACTTTATGCATATATCTGTATATGTTTAATTCTCTTTAGGAAAGAAGCAGTGATTTGATCACAGGGCTGGGATTTAAGACTTCTGAATTCTAATTCAAGCCCATCAGTGGCTCAGTTTGAGGCCTGGGCAAGTCACTTAACCTCTCTGTCTCAGTTTTTCCACTCATCAAGTGGTGTTAATCAAATGTACCTGTTTTGTTGGTTTGTTTGAGGCTTCATTAGTTAATGTCTGTGAAGTGTTTTTTAAGATTTAATTTGCTGCATAAATGCTATGAGTATCTTTTGAAAATGAATTTGGTATTCATAGCAATTTTTGAACCGACATCTGCAAAGTGAAGTTTTATAACTTCAGACAAGTTAAATATAGACAGCTGCAATGCAATTTTCCTGATCTAGGAATCCTCCTGAGGTCAGAGAGCATTTTGTTCCCTATACCCATTGAAACCTTGATTTCTCTCCTCCAATATGACTTGCCAATAATGGTGTCAATTTATGCCAGTTGCATCGGTGACTTCTTTGTGAGTGTATAAAGTTGCATATTGCTAATTGGGCTGTGACTAACAGCTCACTTCAGTTATAAAGCACTCCAGAGCAGTTCAGGTGTCAATTTCTGAGTTGGCCAGAATTTGAATTGCTGGTGTAACAGAGGAGCTGAAGGGCTCCATATGATTTTTGCAGTACAATTTGAGCCCTATGTTAGTTCAATAAAATAAATGAGTATCTTTGGCTTTTTGCTTGTAGAGCCATGTTGTATGAGTATGATGAATAGTTGTAAAACCATGCATTTTGCATATGTTGTTAGGATGAATAATTCAGTGACAAGTTAAAACAGTTTATAGCTACTTTTGATTACCCTTTTTAATGGGATCATTTAAATGGGGGGTTATAATTTTGTTCTCCCAAAATAATAGTAGTATCTTAAAGTTTGTATTCTTGTGATGGTATTATTGTTTGCTTAAGTTGATTAAACTTCTTCTTTTCTTTAAGGTAAAGTGCAAGTTAAGAGTTCAGACATACAAGTTGGAGACCTCCTCATAGTGGAAAAGGTTGATGCTTTTTATAAATATATATTTAGCGACTAAAGATGTCAACAGTTAACACTTATGCTCACTGTATCGTTTAAAACCCAGGAAAAATACATTGAAATACTAACTACTTACTGATATTTTTTATTTACTTCAATTTTCTTTGACTGTAATGCAAATTCTTTTTCTTTGAATGTGATTACATTCATATAAATATTTTTATTTTTATTAATTTTATTTCCTTTTAATGAAAGACTTACTGAATGAAATTCTGTGGGCTGTGTTACAGTTCAGAATATATGAACTTGAGTACTTCCCTGCTAGCCTTAAAGCTTTAAATCAAATTTTTCATTCATTTTTTTAATTGTTATTCTGTGTCTTGTTTTGGTAAGTGTTTATGGGGAAACAAATTGAGGATGGCAGACCTAAGTTCAAGCTCTGCTTTGTGTAAGGGAAAAAATTCCCTTACAATTAAACAGCTGGAGTGTCTGTACCCTAAGCCAGCTCATTTTGTTGGAGTTATCCCCTAAGAAGGTACTGGGACTTCAAAAGGTAGCTCAAAGTTTTCTTGTCAGAGGGAAGATCTGTCTTGGGCCTTTCTTAAGCAAGTTAATGTTAGAAATCTAACTTCCAGGTACCAGAAGATGACTTTCTTCTAACACTTCTTCTGACATGCAGAAAGAGGTATCAACAGTTAAAGCTTACACCTGCTTCTGCTTAAATTGGCAAGTGAAAAATGGTAGTTTAGCAAGGTGTTAAACCTTAAGGATGACTACACTTCTTAAAAAAACTTTGTGGGGAATATTCCTCCTTCCTTGGTAGATTTATTTCTGATAAAGGAGTCTAAGACCAGCCTCCAGATTTGGTTTCTGTTCATTCCATTTCAGTTTCTTTTTCCCTACTACATTTATTCTTATGAGGAAAGTGTTAAGAGGTAGAAATTATTTTCCTTCTTTCAATACTATATTAGGAATTGTTGTCTCCTTCCTGCATTTTTTCCTTCTCATGTTCAAGAAAAAAATACCCCTTTCTTAAAGATGTATACTTCAGAATTCAGTTGATTTGTCTGGTCTCAGTTTAAAATATTTATTTGCATATTTTGGTAAGCCAAGCTACTGAAAATTGAATATACCTGAGGTTGTATGTAGGCAGTGACTACAACTGGTAAGAAGTACCTCTTTTTGGTCTTCCTTTTAAAGTTTTAGCTTAGTATGTGACAGAGGTAGTGGAGTAGTTAAAATCTGAAGATTCTATAGATCTATAGAGCCACACGCACACTACCAGCAGGCTAAGCAACTTGCTTATAGCCTCCTAAACAGTTATGTAGTTGCATAAGCACAGTTCTGGGTATGTACCAGTAAAGTAGCACTTGAATTGGGTGTGGTATGCTATTGTCTAGCACATCTCAGGGTGGTACAGACATGCCCATTAAGTTTGGCAGTGACATATCACTAAACTGTTTTGGGCTTTGTATTGACAGTAGTCAAATGAGAGGGTTCGAAGTTTATTTAATCAATACAGTGAGACAATCTGGCTTTAAAGGGTGCCTGTACATGAGCCAGGAGGCTGCTCCGACATGCTGTAATTACAGCGTGTCAGAGCAGACTCGATTAATCAAGTCCACACTTCAGCCAGCCTCTGCATCTTGTGTATCAGCATCCCCACACTTCAGAATGGCAGTGGGGGTGCTTCAAGTAAAGCTTGTTCAACGAGCTTTAGATAAAGAGCCCCCACCACCATTCTGAAGTGCAGGGGCGCTGAAACACAAGATGCTCCAGGCGCTTTAGAGTGGCTCTCGCAGCATGTGTTTAAAAAAAAAAAAAAAAAAAAAAAGCCCAACTTGAAGCACATGTAAAAATGCCCAAAGTCACTAGTCTACGTAGGCCTATCAATGTAACTGAGTGGCACATAGTTCCTTGCAGGTTAATTCCGAGTACTTACCCAACTTCCTGAATGCCTGTGCAGAGTTCTGTGTTCCCTGGATTGTTGTCACAACTCTAAGCTCACCCACCTTTCTCACTTTGGAATGTTTTCATGTGGATTCCTATGAAAGTGAAAGCCATTATTGTTGACTTACAGCTTGAGCTGTTTATGTGATTTTGAATTATAGTTTTGAAATTTTGTTTCTGCAAAAAAGGACTCAATAACCATTGCCTTCCAGTGGTTTTTCCATGTCAGTTAAATGATTCTGCAACCAGGCAGCAAGGAGAAATGGTACTGGGGCGAAGCACTGGCAGTGACATCCTGGTTCTAGTGCTGGCCAGACTCAGACCAAGCTGGACCATTCCAGGCCACCACCACAAAACATTGCTGACCATGGTGTAAACACATCAGCACGGGAGTGGTGTTCTGTAAATATAACTTCTTCAAAAATTGTATTTACTTAAGCTTATCTTTCATCATGAAATTTACAAAAAAACCCATTACAGCCTATGAACTATTGTTTTCCATGAAGTTTAAGAACTCAGTAAGTTTGTAACTATCTTAATTTCCTGCATTAAAGTTCAATCCTGTGAGGTGGAATGCATGCACCTCTCTCCCTGAGTTCACTTCAGTGGAACTGCACCTAACAGGACCAGACTTTTATTAGGCAGCCATTGTTTCTAAAATAATATAGTCTTTACCATGAAGAAATGTTCCTAAGATTTAAGCACATGAGGAGTGTGTATATACATGTGTGTTTTCTATATAATATTATTATTAATATGTTTTCTTTGTGGCAGAGATTTTAACCATAGTGCCTCAAGGATGCTGTGAGTTATGTGGCTTAATCTTTTTGAATTATGCTGTAAATATACCACTCCTTTTTTTTTTTTTTTTTTACCTGCCTATGGGTGCCTTTACTGAAATAATAATTATTAAGAATAATGTTGTATTATAGTGTAATACATTTACCTGTTGAATATATTTCACTTCAGCAGTTAGTATCAAAGCTTTTTATTTATTAGAGCTAAAATCTAGTTGATTTTTACTTGGCTTTCAGACTACTGAAATTTAAATGTTTTGCCTGTTATTGAGAAGTATATTTTGTTGAAGGTAAGCAGTTTTCAATTTCAGAGTATAACTTTTAAGCCAAAGAACTAGTCGGGAGTGAAGTGTTCAATTGCTCACTGTAATGTCATAAAGGCGAGTTAACATTGTATTTGACTGGAAGATGCATCAACAGCATTTCTACAGTAAAATTAATGAGTCATTTGAGATGTAGATCCATATGTTAACTAGTGGCTGCATCACAAGTACTAACAACTTAAATGAAAAGCTTTTTCTATATTTAAGCCCTGAACAGCCTCTGGTTTTACAGGCTTGATTAATTTCAAAGTAGTTCTAAGTGGCTGCATTATGCTTAAAACAGTCTAGCTCTGAGTAATACATCTATTAATGTTTCCTCAACTGAAAAGTTGCTAATGCATTTAATATAGTAGGGGGAAAAGTCACTTTGTAGTAGAAGAAAATACTGCTGGCTTTTAAAAGCAAAATGCTGCTCCAGAGGCTTAAACTGTTCAACACATTACACATTTTTCTGAAGATATAGACTTCTCTCTCTCCCATCTTGAAAGAAACTTAACACTTTGTTTATGCCAATGTGTACCTTATTTATTATTAACAATGCATTTAAATATATTTAATGCTTCTCAATAAGGGAAGTTTGTCCAACTGAACAGAATCCATGAGCCCAGGGTAGCTGAATGCAGGCTGCAGATCAGTAAGAAAAAAAACGCTATTCAGTCATTGTGGCTTAATATAATTATGGAACAGGTGAATTTGCACAGACTGTTTCAAAGATGAAGAAACCTGATGAATACTGAGTTGAGGATGAACTTCACTATCCTGTGCTTTTAAAACAGCAGTTCCAAAAATATGGAGCATCCCTTAACTGGGGTGAGGGGTGGAAGGAGGTAGGAGACGAGAGCAGTTTGTTTTTCCAAGTCTCAATCTCTCAAGTAGCTTTTAGGGTTGCAGTTATCACGTACAGAATGTGATCCAAGGACAACCCATTCATTGTCTTCTCATTATATGAAAACCCTGTAACAATGGATCATAATATGAACTGCCCCTTTCATTTCAGTGGGTGTTAGCTCAGATTTCAACGTTGATACCTCAGGAATCAATATTAACTACCAATAGTGTTCTTCTTATCCTAAGGAAATGAAAGAAAGCTTCACGTTACAAAGATTTACACTAATATTTCTGTGGGTTCAGGAGGGGTGGGGAGGAATAGAGGCTTGTCAAGGAAACTGGGCTAGGAGGGTGCAGATGGGGTTTATATAAATTAACCTTGATATTCCAGTGCTGGGGGTTTCCCATACCCCCAGGGCTTAGAGATTGTGGCAGCCACAATCTTCCAATTCTGGGAGGCTTCACACCTCCCCAGGCCTGGTTGATCATGGCATGCCTCTCTCAACCCAGGGGCAGGCAAAATCTGGCCTGCCAGGCAATTTCATCCAGCCTGCAGGTACCCACCAATTAATTGTGCCCTACCCAGCCTGTGTGCCTCACTCCTGCCCTTGTGTGCGGAAGGGCCCAGCCCGGCCAGCACGCAGCTTCTGGGTGGGGCTGTTGCTGCTTCTGCAGCTGCTGGAGGACCTGCTCGGCTTCCCTGGTGTTCAGTGGCTCCTCCTAGTCTCCCTGCTGCAGTGCTTGCTCCAGGCAGCAGCTGGGGAGTGGTGGGGGAGCTGTGGGGGTGGAGGAGCTGCAGCTGGGCAGGGAGCATGGGGCTGGGACTGGTGGGAGCACAGAGCCTATGCCCAGGGGGACAGTGTCAGTGCGGACCTCAGGTGGGCGGGTGTGAAGGAGGGTGGGGGGTGTGGGGACCCCCCCCAACAATTCCCCCCTTGTGGCGCACAGACCCCACCACTGGTGGCAGAAGCAGGTGGTGGGCCCTCGGGGTGCTTCTGGCCTGTGCAGGTGCTGCTGCCCAGTGGCATGTGGCTCCAGCCAGAGCTGCACATGGTGGCAAGGAGCACAGCCAGGCTGGCCCACCTCTATCACGTGGGGCTCCCCACGGCACATGTGCAGCTCCT